GGCAAGAACCCCTTCTTTGACTGATCCATTTTGAACTTCTTCAATATCTTGTCAAGGTACATCTCTGTGAAAGACCAATGAGGCGTCTCGATCTATCTCTATAGATCTTGATGCCTAATATATAAGCAGCTTCTCCAAGGTCCTTCATTGAAAAACACTTGTTCAAGTAGGCCTTTATGCTTTCCAAGAATTCTATATCATTTCCCATCAACAGTATGTCATCCACATACAATATGAGAAATGCTACAGAGCTCCCACTCACTTTCTTGTAAATGCAGGCTTCTCCATAAGTCTGCGTAAACCCAAACGCTTTGATCATCTCATCAAAACGAATGTTCCAACTCCGAGATGCTTGCACCAGCCCATAAATCGAGCGTTGGAGCTTGCACACCTTGTCAGCATTCTTAGGGTCGACAAAACCTTCCGGCTACATCATATACAATTCTTCCTTAAGGAAACCATTAAGGAATGCCGTTTTGACGTCCATTTTCCATATCTCATAATCATAGAATGCAGCAATTGCTAACATGATTCGGACGGACTTCAGCTTCGCTATGAGTGAGAAAGTCTCATCGTAGTCAACCCCTTGAACTTGTCGATAACCCTTAGCGACAAGTCGAGCTTTATAGATGGTCACATTACCATCCGCATCTGTCTTCTTCTTAAAGATCCTTTTATTTTCTATGGCCCGCCGATCATCGGGCAAGTCAGTCAAAGTCCATACTTCGTTTTCATACATGGATCCTATCTCGGATTTCATGGCTTCCAGTCATTTGTCGGAATCCGGGCCCGCCATCGCTTCTTCATAGTTCGAAGGTTCACCGTTGTCTAACAACATGATTTCCAAGACAGGGTTGCCGTACCACTCTGGTGCGGAACGTGTCCTCGTGGACCTACGAAGTTCAGTAGCAACTTGATCTGAAGTTTCATGATCATCATCATCAACTTCCTCTCTAGTCGGTGCAGGCACCTCAGGAACATTTTCTTGAGCTGCGCCACTTACCGGTTCAAGAGGTAATACTTCATCAAGTTCTACTTTCCTCCCACTTATTTCTTTCAAGAGAAACTATTTCTCTAGAAAGGACCCATTCTTGGCAACAAAGATCTTGCCTTTGGATCTGAGGTAGAAGGTATACCCAATAGTTTCTTTAGGGTATCCTATGAAGACGCATTTTTCCGATTTGGGTTCGAGCTTTTCTGGTTGAAGTTTCTTGACATAAGCATCGCATCCCCAAATTTTTAGAAACGACAACTTAGGTTTCTTCCCAAACCATAATTCATACGGTGTCGTCTCAACGGATTTCGACGGAGCCCTATTTAAAGTGAATGCGGTAGTCTCTAAAGCATAGCCCCAAAATGACAGCGGTAAATCGGTAAGAGACATCATAGATCGCACCATATCTAATAGAGTGCGATTACGACTTTCGGACACACCATTACGCTGAGGTGTTCCAGGCGGCGTGAGTTGTGAAACTATTCCACATTTTCTTAAGTGTGTGCCAAATTCATGACTCAAGTATTCTCCCCCAAGATCTGATCGCAAGAACTTGATTTTTCTGTCACGTTGATTCTCAACCTCACTCTGAAATTCCTTGAACTTTTCAAAAGTCTCAGACTTGTGTTTCATTAAGTAGACATACCCATATCTACTCAAGTCAACAGTGAGGGTGAGAACATAACGATAGCCACCGCGAGCCCCAACACTCATTGGACCGCACACATCAGTATGTATGATTTCCAATAAGTTGGTTGCTCGCTCCATTGTTCCTGAGAACGGAGTCTTGGTCATTTTACCCATGAGGCATGGTTCACACGTGTCAAATGATTCGTAATCAAGAGACTCTAAAAGTCCATCTGCATGTAGCTTCTTCATGCGTTTGACACCTATGTGACCAAGGCGGCAGTGCCACAAGTATGTGGGACTATCATTGTCAACCTTACATCTTTTGGTATTCACACTATGAATATGTGTAACATTACGCTCGAGATTCATTAAGAATAAACCATTCACCAACGGAGCATGACCATAAAACATATCTCTCATATAAATAGAACAACCATTATTCTCGGATTTAAATGAGTAGCCATCTCGAATTAAACGAGATCCTGATACAATGTTCATGCTCAAAGCTGGCACTAAATAACAATTATTGAGGTTTAAAACTAATCCTGTAGGTAAATGTAGAGGCAGCGTGCCGACGGCGATCACATTGACCTTGGAACCATTCCCGACGCGCATCGTCACCTCGTCCTTCGCCAGTCTCCGTTTATTCCGCAGCTCCTGCTTTGAGTTACAAATGTGAGCAACCGCACCGGTATCAAATACCCAGGAGCTACTACGAGTACTGGTAAGGTACACATCAATTACATGTATATCACATATACATTTAGTGTTGCCGGCCTTATTGTCCGCTAAGTATTTGGGGCAGTTCCGCTTCCAGTGACCACTTCCCTTGCAATAAAAACACTCAGTCTCGGGCTTGGGTCCATTCTTTGGCTTTTTCCCGGCAGCTTGCTTACCGGGCGCGGCAACTCCCTTGCCGTCCTTCTTGAAGTACTTTTTACCCTTGCCTTTCTTGAACTTAGTGGTTTTATTCACTATCAACATTTGATGTTCCTTTTTGATTTCCACCTCCGCTGATTTCAGCATTGAATATACCTCAGGAATGGTCTTTTCCATCCCCTGCATATTGAAGTTCATCACAAAGATTTTGTAGCTTGGTGGAAGCGACTGAAGGATTCTGTCAATGACTGCGTCATCCGGGAGATTAACTCCCAGCTGAGTCAAGCGGTTATGCAACCCAGACATCTTGAGTATGTGCTCACTGACAGAACTATTTTTCTCCATCTTACAGCTGAAGAACTTGTCGGAGACTTCATATCTCTCGACCCGGGCATGAGCTTGAAAAACCATTTTCAGCTCTTCGAACATCTCATATGCTCCGTGTCTCTCAAAACGCTTTTGGAGCCCCGGTTCTAAGCTGTAAAGCATGCCGCACTGAACGAGGGAGTAATCATCAGCACGTGACTGCCAAGCGTTCATAACGTCTTGGTTCTCTGGGACAGGTGTGTCACCTAGCGGTGCTTCTAGGACATAATCCTTCTTGGCAGCAATGAGGATGATCCTCAGGTTCCGGACCCAGTCCGTATAGTTGCTGCCATCGTCTTTCAGCTTGGTTTTCTCTAGGAACGCGTTGAAGTTGAGGACAATGTGGGTCATTTGATCTACAAGATATATTGTAAAGATTTTAGACTAAGTTCATGATAATTAAGTTCAGCTAATCAAATTATTCAATGAACTCCCACTCAGATAGACATCCCTCTAGTCATCTAAGTGAAACATGATCCGAGTTAACTAGGCCGTGTCCGATCATCACGTGAGACGGACTAGTTAACATCGGTGAACATCTTCATGTTGATCGTATCTTCTATACGACTCATGCTCGACCTTTCGGTCTTCCGTGTTCCGAGGTCATGTCTGTACATGCTAGGCTCGTCAAGTCAACCTAAGTGTATTGTGTGTGTAAATCTGGCTTACACCCGTTGTATTCGAACGTTAGAATCTATCACACCCGATCATCACGTGGTGCTTCGAAACAACGAGCTTCGCAACGATGCATAGTTAGGGGGAACACTTTCTTGAAATTATTACGAGGGATCATCTTATTTAAGCTACCGTTGTTCTAAGCAAATAAGATGTAAAACATGATAAACATCACATGCAATCAAATAATGACATGATATGGCCAATATCATTTGCTCCTTTTGATCTCCATCTTCGGGGCTTCATGATCATCGTTGTCACCGGCATGACACCATGATCTCCATCATCATGATCTTCATCATCGTGTCTTCTTGAAGTTGTCTCGTCATCTATTACTTCTACTACTATGGCTAACGGTTTAGCAATAAAGTAAAGTATTACATGACGTTATATGTTAACACGCAGGTCACAAATAAATTAAGACAACTCCTATGGCTCCCGCCGGTTGTCATACTCATCGACATGCAAGTCGTGATTCCTATTACAAAAACATGATTATCCCATACATCACATATATCATTCATCACATCCTTTGGCCATATCACATCACAAAACACTTGCTGCAAAAACAAGTTAGACGTCCTCTAATTGTTGTTGCAAGTTTTTACGTGGCTGCTATAGGATTCTAGCAAGAACGTTTCTTACCTACGCCAAAACCATAACGTGAATTGCCAATTTCTATTTACCCTTCATAAGGACCCTGTTCATCGAATTCGATCCGACTAAAGTGGGAGAGACAGACACCGGCCAGCCACCTTATGCAACTAGTGCATGTCAGTCGGTGGAACCAATGTCACGTAAGCGTACGTGTAAGGTCGGTCCGGGCCGCTTCATCCCACAATGCCGCCGAATCAAGATAAGACTAGTAACAGCAAGATAATTGACAATATCGACGCCCACAACTACTTTGTGTTCTACTCGTGCATAGTAACTACGCATAGACCTAGCTCATGATGCCACTGTTGGGGAACGTAGCAGAATTTTAAAATTTTCTACGCATCACCAAGATCAATCTATGGAGTCATCTAGCAACAAGGGACAGAGGAGTGCATCTACATACCCTTGTAGATCGCGTGCGGAAGCGTTCAAGAGAACGGGGTTAATGGAGTCGTACTCAACGTGATCCAAATCACCGATGACCAAGTGCCAAACGGACAGCACCTCCGCGTTCAACACACGTACGGTTGGGAGACGTCTCCTCCTTCTTGATCCAGCAAGGGGGAAGTAGAGGTTGATGAAGATCCAGCAGCATGACGGCGTGGTGGTGGATGCAGCAGGATCCCGGCAGGGCTTCGCCAAGCGCAAGCGGGGAGGAGAGAAAAAAACTAAAAACAAACGTGTAGATTAACGTGAATTTCTAACGTCTGTGGTATGTTACAATTTTTTGTTGAGCAGATATACAGCAGCATGTAGCCGGTTGAGTGGTTGGGCTACATGCATGCCTTTGTTCCGGTGGTTAATCGATCTTGGTGAAGCGCAAGAACCCGAGCACCTCCCTGACCCGGCGCTGCCATCCTGGCTTGGTCGCCGCCGTCGCCGTCGCCATCGCGGCGGGCTTGGCGCCGACGATGCCGTCGTTGCCGGCGAGCACCCGGTACTTGTCCTTGCGGGTGAAGGTGGTGCACTCGAACCCCAGCGTGGCCGCGAGTATCCTCTGCACGTAGTTGGCGACGTCGACGGGGCTCCTCCCGGCGGCGCACGTCGCCTCGGCGGGGAGCTGGTTCAGGAACGTCACCTCGTACACCGGCCGCGGGTTCATGAAGAAGAAGATGGGGTCCATGGCCTTCCACCCCCGCGCCGTCGTCGGGTGGAAGAGCCCCACGCGGTAGTTGGTCGCCACGGGGACGATCCGGTCGCTCAGCTCCGCGAACAGCGCCGAGAAGCGGAGCAGGAAGGGCTCCCGGCAGGTGGTGCCCTCGGGGCACACCGCCACGTCGCCCCGCGCCAGCTCCGCCCGCATCCGCGCCGCGTCCGTGTCGCGGTCGCGCGTCAACCGCACCGTCGGGATCGGCGACAGGACCTCCGAGAGCCGGGAGAGGGAGTAGGTCACGGCGGCCACGCGCCGGCCGAGCACGAACGCGAGCGCCACCGGGTCCATGAGCGTGCGGTGCGTGCAGACGAAGAGGACGCCCGTGGGCGAGCCGTTGGCGCCGGTAGTCGGGGCGGGGGGCCGGCCGCGCGTGATGACGGCGCCGCCGACGAAGGGGGCGACGTAGGGGAGGGCCTGGATGGGGAGGACGATGCCGAGCGTGATGCGGACGATGGCGAGGAGGACGCCGAGGGGGATCCAGAGGAGGATGGCGATGGACATGAGCGCCGTCGGCCGGCGCACGAGCCGACCGTCGTGGAAGATGACCGGGCGAAACGGAGGGCACTTCGGTCGCTTCGCCACGTCGTCGTCGTCCGCGGAGAACGGCGGCTGGAGTTGCTCCTGCATCCACGCATGTAACGTATTCAGATTCATGTAAGGTTACTCATCTTTTGGAAGAAAAAAAAGTTACCCATGCTCAGGGCTTCAACTAAAAATGAAGAAGCAAAGTGGAAAAAATCGAACCTATAGTTTTTGTGAAGATAAAAGTAATAAGTGAATTGATTTTCCAAAAATAATAGCATGCTTTTACAAAAAAAACTGCACCAAAGGTTTGTAGTCTTCAACCGAAGTTGAGCTCTCCAAAGCCCATGTAAAACGAACCAAATTATTCTTAGAAAAACAGAACAATATCTTTAAAAAACGGAACTTGCCAAAAAAATTTGAAAAATCCAAAAGAAATTCAAAAGCCTCCCTCCCTTTTCGGTTTGTTAGCCCCGTCTAAAAAAAGCAGAGTGTCTTATTTGTCAGGCTTATTGTCCTGGAAATAGGCAAATATAGGTATTTTTGCATTGAATTCTGTCATTTTTTTAATGTAAAAAGTGGGAGGGCCATGCATGCAACATTAATATGTTGTCTAGCGTTTAGAGGATGTTTGTTTCCAGAGACTTATTGGTCTAGGGATTTAAATAAGTTACTATAAGTCTCATCTAAACCAAACATGAGGGATTTATAGGGACTTAAAATGGGCATTTCAGACTTATGAAATAAGACTCTTAAGGAGGGATTTATAGGGACTTATAGTTGTAATATGGTCTTATAGAGACTTATAAGTCATAGAAACCAAACAGATAGGGACTTTTTAGGGACTTGAGACTAAAAAAGTCTTAGAACTTATGAACCAAACAGGGCCTTAGTTATGTTCTCCTTGATTAATGTGATTTGTGAGATAAGTACAAAAACAGAAAAGGAGAACTTTGTAGAGAGCGCAGCTCACCTTGCACAAGGGCAAGAACGATCGTGCCATTTCCGACCGGCCCAGACCGAGGTCCGGCCGGTCGCCGTCCCGGAAAAGCGCGCGCACGCGTTCGGCGACGGCCTCGTCGCGGCCGCCCTTGATGAGCCCGGTGCACCGCCTGAGCCGGCTGTACTCGACGTCGCAGCCGACGACGTCGTGCGCGCCGAGGTGCTCCCTGGCGAACCACTCGACCATGACCCGGGGCATGCGGGTGACGACGACGCGCCTCCCCTCGCAGGCCCCGAAGGCCGCCCACGCGGCGGGGTCGACGTCGTCGGCCATGAACTTGGGCAGCACGGCGCGCGCCACGGCCTCCAGCTCCGCCCGCGGCACCCCGGCCGTGGCCACGAACGCCGCGCAGCGCAGCGCCAGGCCGCCCCGGCCCAGCAGCAGCTCCAGCAGGCGCAGCGCCGGCCAGAGCGCCAGCAGCGCGGCGAAGCGCGGCAGGCCGGACGCCTCGAACGCCACGAGCATGAAGTAGGGGAAGGTGCAGGCGTCGCGCAGCAGCGTGCCCTCCAGCTCCGCCACCACCGACGACGGCATGGCCGCCATGCGTCGTCGACCGACCGACGATCTTGCCACCGAGCTGGTCTGCTGCACCTCGGACGTAGTTGTGAGCGTGGGAGTGTGCGAGGTGGGAGTCGGACGAGGAATGGAAGGGAGCGGGCGCATGCGCGGGGGATATAGGGGGGTGTCCGGCGCCGGGCGACCGGGTCGCCGGGGGCGGTGGGCAGCGTCTGGCTTGACCGCGGGCGCCGTCGCCGATTCAGGTAAGCGGACTGCACCCACCGCGTTGGCGCGCGTGCATGCAGAGTTGCGTGGAGGTGTGGATTGCGCGGGACGACGACCGCCCGACCTAACCCACCTCTCGGAAGTCTCAACAAACCGGATCTATCTCGCTTGCTTCAGTCTGCTTAGCCAGTGCCCGGTCGGGGGCTTAACTACTAACCACTGTCAGGGAAATCCGGACGTGTGAACCGCGAAGAGGAGATAGCTACGTTGTTGCACTGGTATAGTAGTAAGAGCATCTCCAACGGCCGCATAAAAATCTCGTGCCCAATAAAAATTATAGCGTGTCACTGTAGCATTTTTAGTGCGCCGGGACCAACATTGCTTTAGCAGACGTCTAAAGACGCGCGTTCAAAAAGCAGACAGTGCAAATTGTGAAGCACGCCCGATCCGGAACTTAAAATATGCTACGCGCGATAGCGTTTTTCAGCGCGCCCAATACTTTTTAGCGCTACAGCATCTGTTGGAGCTGCTGGGTGTAAAAAAACGAATTTTTAATGCGCGAAACTCTTTTTGGACGCCTGTTGAAGATGCTCTAAGTTGCCTGGTGGCGTGCCGTGGCGTGGGAAATCTGGCCGACGTGGTACGAGACGACGTACACACTAACACACACCTGTCGCGTGCGGAGCGGCTTGGATCTCCGGCCGGCCACCTTTGTGCCGTGCGCGGTTTGCGCGGGGCGTTGTTAGCTCTTGAATGCTGATGCCGACTCCCCTGGGTAGATTAGAAGATAGGAGTATCATTTCAGACAGAGAGGGGTAGAGGAGAGAGCGTGCTGGCACTTTCTCTCTGTGTGTTTTACGCACCGCACTCGTCTCGTGACGCTGTCTTAATCAGGCACGTGGCCATGCGGTCGTCGATTGACCTGCTAACAGCGGTTCTCTTCGGACTTGTACCACAAACATAACTGGTTTACAGTGTCCTCGTTGCTCACCACTTGACCTTAACTAGTAGCAAAACCATGCATGCATGCATGGTCCAGGCTCGGAGCAAGTAGTACCGGCGACACAGTCGGGCCCGTGTATACGCTGTTGCTCACGCGACACATGCGGCTGATCTAGCCGTAGGTAGATGCAATCAGCATGCGCTCGTCTGTCTGTCACCAATGACCTGGGAACAGTGACCAGCAACAAAACACTATTATCAACGGGTTACGGGTGCACGAGGGAGGGTCGCCTGTACTAGTATAGTAGTTGTCTCATCATATTCAATGTGCTGTTTCTGGAAACGGCTCGATGCCTATCATGTCAGTGTGTGTGTGTGTGTGTGTGTGTGTGTGTGTGTGTGTGTGTGTGTGTGTGTGTTAGCAAGCGAGCTGCACGTCCTTATTTTGACAGAGACTCGAAATTAAACCCTACGTCGCAGTTTCAATCGACCTGTACCTACGTGTCAACGGCAGCACGGCGCGCTGGGTGCAGGCGGCACGTTTTTAAACCGTCGAAGGCAAGGTACTACTTGGGTTTTTCCCGGGACAGTAATGGCGGCGGCGGTGTTTCCACACGCCGTTTTCCGGGTCAGGATTGATCTCCGATCGAGCTAACATATGGATACGGCGAGTTGGGCCGACGGAGACAGGAGAGAGGACAGCGCCGAGACGGTGCATGCATGCTCTAGTGCGTTGTCGACTCGGTGTAAGCTGTTGGAAAAAGTCTGGGCGTGCCAGAATTAGGGGTCGCCCTCTGCTATGTTTAGCAGTTAAGAGTCCAACGCTGAGTTGACAAATTTTCCCAGACTTTGTAGTCTTTTGTTCCTTTCCGATCCCGTTTTAATCTCCTCCGCTATACTCATGTGACTTTCGTGCGAAACAAGCACTACTGCGTGATAAATGGTTTTACACTCTTAAGCTGACCGGCGGTCACGTATTAAACAGTAAAGTTCATCGGCTAGAGAGAGAAATGAGGAGAGAGCGTACTGTTAGCACTTGAGATCTCTCTGCGTGTTTTACGTGCCGCACCCGCACTCGTCACGCTGTCTTAGGGGATGTTTGATTTTAGGGATTTTTTTGGGTTGGAAGTAGAAAAAATTCCTAGCAAATCAAATAGGGCGAGACTTTTTTCAGACTTTTTACTAAAAGTCCTTAAAAACACCTTTTTAAGAGTCTTTTTTAAAAGTCTTAGAGACTAGAAAAAGTCAGGTAGGTGGTCATCGACTTGAATTGCTAACAGCGGCTCTCTTATGACTTGTACTGCAAGCATAACTGGTTTACAGTGTTCTTGTTGCTGACCACTTGACCTCGACCGACAAAACCGTGCATGCATGGTCTAGACCCCAGAGCGACTAGTACCAGCGACACAGTCGACCCCGTGTGGATGCTGGTGCTCACGCGGCACATGCAGCTGATCTAGCCATAGCCATAGGCAGATGCAATCAGCATGCGATCACCAGGGACCTGGGAACAGTGACCAGCAGGACAGCATCAACGCGCGGACGAGGAAGGGCCGTAGTACCGATAGTATTCGTATGTTTCAGTAGTACTCCTATATACTCCCTCCATTCCACACTGTAGTGCTTTCTCTATCCACGTGCTTCAATTTTGACCGTAAATTTAACTACCAAGACCGATTGCGACGGAGCAAAAATTATATCAGTGAATTCGTATTTGAAAGAAGTTTTCAATTATATAATTTTTTCTCTCGCTGCAGTTGGTCTCATTGGTTAAATTTATTGTCAAAGTTGGACCTCAAAAAGCGCGGGCGCATTATATTATGGAATGGAGGGAGTATGTATGTTTGTGTACGGTAGCTAAGGTATAACTTCGGGCTGCTGTCGAAACAAGGACGTGATACTCGCCTGCTAGCACGCACAGGCGCGTTGACACGACAGGCATCGATCGAGCTGTTTCCAGAACAGACATGTTGAGTGGTACTACGAGACGAGGCGCGCTGGCGGTTTCCATCGACTTGTACGTACGTGTCAGCGGCAGTACGTACGCGCTGGCTGGGTGCATGATATGCGCGCGCACGTTGTTAAGCCGTCGAAGCGAAGCAATGCAGGACGCCGTCGGCGGCGATGATCATCTCGCGGTTTTCCCCGGGGCATGCAGTAATGGCGGTGGTGGACTGGTGGCGTTTCCGCACGCCGTTTTCCGGGTCAGGGTTGGTCTCTGGTCGACATAGCACACCATTTGACAGTACGTGCTCTCTGTTAGACAGTGTTGTCGATTCGGTCGGTGTACTAGGCTTTTGGAAGAAGTATTGGGATGCCACAACTAAGGGTCGCTCTCTGCTGTGTTTAGCAGTTAAGAGTCCGGCACCGAGTTGACATTTTTTCTTGCACTTGTTTGGCCCCTTCCTCTTCGTTCCAGTCTCCGCTACTCGACATAACTTCTGTAACGTCCCTGCAAAATACT